AAAGCTGATGCTGCTCCCCCAAAAGAAAAATGAAAAATAAAGGCCGTGGCTACGCTAACCCCTTAACGGAGCAAGAGAAGGGTGGTATGAGGAACTCACCGCAGCACTGGCGAGCTGCTGCCGCTTCGCTTTCCCCGGCCCCGGCGGCCGTACTGGAGCCCGCCGGCGCAACCCAAGATTGGTTGCGAGAGAGAGAGAGAGAGAGAGAGAGAGAGAGAGCAGGGAGAGAGCAGGGAGAGCAGAGAAGATGGGAGAGGGAGACGGGATTGGAGTGGGCAGGGGAGGAAGGTCAGGTTGTGGGAGGGCAAGTCAAGTCAACCCGGGGGTGGCGACGGCGACGGCGAGGGGCGAGGGCGACGGGAGCGAGACAGACTGCGGAATGGTCCGTGGAATGGAATTCGGAACGAATGCCGTGACGCCGGGGTCTCTCTCTGTTCCGTTCCTTCACTCTATGCCGCTCCGTTCTGACGGGAGAAAAACACACACCGAGACAGACACAATAGGCTCCGGTTTTCTCTAGCCCTGTGGAAAACGGAGGAAGAAGGGCGAGCTTTCGCACTGGACCGACCGGCTTCCGCTGACCGCCTGGCCGTGACCTCACATGGACGAATCATCTTCTTACTATATTGTCTGTTCATTTCTCTGACTGCAATAAAAGTAACTCCAACAAACCGACCCAAACGGACGGCGATTTCATCTTTTTTTGTTTGTTTGGGTCGGTCGGCGTCTGTCTTGTTTTTTATATGAGTCGGCAGCGCGCTTAACATGCCGACTTATATGTGCAGACGTGGTCGGCTGGCCGTCCAATTTTACATTGATTTGCATTCAAACATATTGTGAAATGAAAATGTTAACAAGCAAAATAGTTTAGCCGTCCAAATAAATAGTATAGTTTTACAAGCCAAATACAAATAAAAATATTTCACATAGTTTTGCAAACGAATAAAAGATGATACATCTATTAGTTGCCAACATGAGTCCACATATGCTCAACCAAATCATTTTGCAGTTGCACGTGAGTTTCCCAATCACGCATGTCTTCATGAAACTGAGTGAAATGCTCAAATGTTGCCGCTACTCCATGCTCGGGTACAACATTCTCACCCTGAAACTGAAAGCCTTGATCGTACAGACGTTCCGGGCGCTCGTCTTCTACGATCATATTGTGCATGATCACACAAGCAGTCATCACCTCCCATAGTTTCTGTGTGCTCCAAGTATTAGCAGGATACCGAACGATGCCCCATCGAGATTGCAAAACATCAAAGGCACGCTCGACATCCTTCCTAGCACTCTCTTGCTCTTGGGCAAATCTTTTCCTTTTCTCTCCGATAGGGTTGGGTATTGTCTTGACAATAGTGGTCCACTGAGGATAGATACCGTCACCCAAATAGTATCATTTGTCGTAGTTGTGGCCGTTGACAGTAAAGTTCACCGGTGGGTTGTTGCCTTCGGCAAGCCTAGCAAACACCAGCGAGCGCTGAAGCACGTTGATATCATTGTGTGATCCAGCCATGCCAAAGAAAGAGTGCCAGATCTAGAGATCTTGAGACAACACGGCCTCTAGTATGACAGTGCAAGCTCTGACATGTCCCTTATACTGCCCTTGCCAAGCAGAAGGGCAATTCTTCCACTCCCAGTGCATGCAGTCTATGCTGCCAAGCATCCCCGGGAAGCCCCTGCTGACATTCATCGCCAACAAAACGGGCTGTATCTTCAGTTATCGGCTCTCTCAAGTACTCGAGGTCAAACACGGCAATCACAGCCTTGCAGAACTTATACAGGGACTCTAGGCATGTAGACTCGCTCATACGGACGTACTCGTCAACGAGATCACCGGGCACTCCGTATGCAAGCATTCGGATGGCGGCAGTGCATTTCTGATAAGAGGAGAAACCAATTTTGCCGACGGCATCCTCTTTGCACTCGAAGTAGTCATCATAGCCGACCACTCCCTCTCTAATACGGTTGAAAACATGCCTACTCATACGGAACCGGCGGTAGAATTTGTGATGTTTGAACAACGGGTTTGTTGTATTAAAGTAGTCCTTCCAGAGAAGGAAATGCCCGCTCTCTCGGTTGCGATTCAACGCCGGAAGGTGGCCCGGAATGAAGCCACGGAACAACGGCCACTGGTTGTTGAGGTGATGATGGACCAACACGGCAGCCAATATCTCCTCGTCGTCGGACGACAAATCGTCGGAGTCACAAAGGAAATTGTGGAAAAAGAACTCGTCGACGGAGTCCATTTTCGTACCTTGACAAACTGTCGAACAGCTTGCGGGCGTCAAAGAAGGAGACGGCCGGCGAGGGGAGACGCGGCGCCCACAGACCAGCTAGCTGCCCTGCCGGCGTCCGACGAGTGTGACGGCGTTCGACGAGCGTGCCGGTCGGATGTGGCGGCGGGGAAGCGGCGGCGGGAACCAGTTTGCTCCTCGGCGGCAAAACGGCGACGGCGGGCGACGGCGGGCAGGGGCGACGTTGCTGGGCGGATGTGGAGGCGGCGGCAGCTAGAAGAGTCGCTGGCAAAAATGGGCGGCAGTGTCGGTGACGAAGGAGGCGGGGCGAGGGTTGCTTGTTGGCCGGGGGGAGAGAAGAGGGGTGAGAGGGGAGGCCAATGTGCCACAGACTAGCGGATCCGGAGACAGAAGTAGGCGAGCGCGCGCGCGTCCGTCGCATGTCCGCGCCGATGCAAATCAGGCTAAAAAATGAACCGCCCGCGGACGAAAAACGGATACGCGTCCGTTTAGGTCGACACGTTGGGCCGTTTTTTCTATCCGCGCCGACACAAACAGACGGCCGCGGACAAAATGAATCGTCCCATTGGAGTTGCTCTAACTTCCCTCCACGTCCATATCAAAACAAAACTATTGGTTTCTCGATGGCCGTCGGGCCCTGCGACTGCGAGCTCTCCGTACGCAACAGCGAACGATTTGTCTAATAACACGGTTCAGTTTCTCCGAAAGTACTCACGTTCGCTGTCCACGGGCGCCAAAGGGCTCCATATATCTCGGGCCAAAATTTCGTCACTCAGAACCACATACACATGCAGCCACGCAGCATTTGACGGATGGCACTTCTAGCTCCAGCTATTCGATCTGGACCTGGTACCACTGCACGGAGCCCACCTCGCCGTCGACCTCGAGCTCGCACACCGACCTGACGAGGTACGAGACGGCGTCGTCCACCGTGTCGAATCTAGCGAGGTCCGGCGGCAGCGCGCCCCCCGGCCACCTCTCCAGCCACCCACGCAGCCGCTCCTCCAGCTCCTCCTTGGACACGAACTCCTCGTCCATCCCGGGCTCAAGCAGCACGTACGTGTCCGACTGGATGTCCGCCCGCCTCCTGCGCCCCGCACACTACCAAACCCAAAATCCACATCACACACAAAATACAGCCACTATCCGACACTGCACAACGTAGAAAATTATTGCCATGATTGAAGGATTGATAGATTGAACAGTAACGATATCTTGGACCGTTCCACGATGGAAATGGATGGATGGATGGGACTCTGACCTTTGTCCCGGGGCCTCGGCGTTGAATTCTCGGTGGTCTCGTAATGGGAGATGCGCTGGAGAAGCTCGCGACTCCGGGCGCCAGTGCTGCCGCCCTGGACGATCGCCTCTGGGCACGGGGCAACGACCATCTTTTGCCTGCACGTAGCAATGTGGTGGTACATGCAGAGAAAATTACAGGAAATCAAACGAAGTGGTAGCGCTCTCTGACTATTGATGGAAATCGGGGAGCATTTGACGGGTATGCTGCCACGATTGTGCCATCTTTTCGGTTGCTTTCTCCCGCTTTCTCGCTTTTGCTTTTGAAAGACGGAAGCGTCGCTCAATCCAATTCAATTCAATTCAAAGGTGGGCTGCCGGCTGCCCGGTGTCGATTTTCCGTACGTAGTACAAAAGCTGGAAGATGCGGCAAGCTTTCTCCGAGGAGATAAATATTCCCAGACTAAAGGAAGGAAGGCGTGCTTCCATGATATTTCTCAGCAGGATTCCGGAGCTGCTAGCTAGTCATGCTCAGGTAAAGCTGGAGTGGTAGATTTCTTTAGCCAAGTTGCAGGTCCTGGTCAAAAGGGTTGCGAGCGAAATAAATACCGGTCAAATTCTGAAGATTCAGCATATCGTCTGATGATAATGATATGACACTGCTGGGTACAGCATGAATACAGTACCCATCGAACTCGCGTGCCTGTGATTTGTATGGGTAGTTTTGTGGAGGTTGACTGCAAAACTTAGGACTAACGGGTGCGGTTAACTAGTATCATGGATTAACCAAGAGGTTACATGATTGACTAGTAGAAAAATCCACAATATCCGGTAACCACATACTTCAGGGAGTAGACATGCGTACCCATGCCAGTTGGAATAGCACCGATCGGGTTACAAGTTGACTAAACGGCTGGTTCTACTACTACTAGATCGGCACAGAAATTTCCTAAAATTCTCATCACCTAACCTTTTGAGTCAAAGGTGCAATTTAGTGCCTTGCCAGTTTACTACTGTAGTAGTGAATTATATTAATATATATACATGGTTTTCTTTAATTTGGTTTGATGAGCGGTGCAGATTTAAACAGAGGACTGACTCTGTTTCTGCAGCTCAGCCGACCTTGACCCCTGATTAGCAGACCCCTATGATTCAACGCCCTCTCTTTCCAGGATAACTACCTCGTTGGACAATGAACCTCCACGCCAAAGAATAACATCACATATTACCTACTTCCACTACTACTACTCCCTCCGTAAAGAAATATAAAAGCGTTTAGATCATTAGGGTAGTGATATAAATGTTTCTATATTTCTTTACAGAGAGGATACTTAGCAAGCGATTAGCTGAGTGAGCACTGAGAAAGAGCTGCCGTTACCGGTGAGTGGCGCGGTGGTGGAGGCATATTCCGGCAGCTGGGCCAGAGCCGCAGCCTCCATCCTTCCGCTGCTGGAGCTGTGTGGCCTCAAATCTTCTTTATCCTTCAATGGCTCGCCGGATACGACTCCGTTGGGCTCTCTCCAGCTTATCCTCCCCTGCCCCTGCATTGAGATTGGTGAGGAAAACATCCATCCAAAAGAGAAGACAAGACCGGTTCCTTGCAAAATTATCAAGAATTGACAGGGACCGCGCAGCCACCAACAAACACACGCTGGGGCTGTGGCCGCCAGATCAAGTGGTCAGCTAGTTACAGCAGGGCACAAGTTGCAGATAGGTGATGCCTATTTACCTGAACCATATGCAACTGTCAACACTAATTTTTATAACTGCATTTCAGCACCAATTCCACTTGTACAGTACATATGAACAATCCAATTTGGGAGATTGTTGAAACGATATTCCATCGGATGAGCTATACACCAACCATTACAGTTTCGTGTGGAAAGCTTTAGGAAAAAAAATGGTTATTGCGATAATAGAGATCTCCCCCTCATGATTCAGGGGTTCAATGGAGAGGCATACATAAACTCGTGTTAACACTATATAACAGCGTAAACCAACATCTATTAGTGACCTTTCCAGGTCACCACGGGTCGGCAAATGTCAACTCATCTTGGTCTTGCGCGTTAATCACTGAAAATGGCAGTGATTTGCTGCAACACAAACTTATTCAATGGCCTTCGTATGCCGCGATCAACTGAGCAATTTTTACTAGGAGGCTGTTCGCGGTTGCATCCTTCGGGTGTGGAGATTTCAGTTCTTGGTACTTGTGTACGCTTCCGGCGAAATCTGTGAATAATCCGTCAACCCCCATCGTATTTATCCAGAAATCGTACTCGGCATAGGGATCCTGATGAAAGTCGAAGTGCAGAAACTGGTTCTCGTTCCTGTATGTGTAAGGGTGTACCTGCAGAAATGATGGAATGCAGTTTAACATGCGACCAGGTGCAAACTACCTGCTATCAAATTGTAGTTGACATGTACTCCCTCTGCACATAAATAGAAGACATTTTAGAGACTTGTGTCAAGTCTCTAAAACGTCTTATATTTATGTAGAGGGAGTGGTAGGGTAACAATTTGGTCCATTGGGATCATTTATAGCGGTCTTAACAAACTAATGCTAGTTAAATCTGAGCTTATGAAAATATATTGTGGTGGTTAGTTTGTCAGAACTTTAAATGAGAGCATTGACCAAGGAGGACACAGCTGAGAGTTCCTGATGCAGATGTCAGCAGTATATCATGTGTTTTCTTCCAATGAATTCAGTTAACAATTGGTCAGATCCTAATGAGATAAAAGATACGTACGGAGTAGAAGATAACCATGACATTTCATTGGTTCTTCTGGTGATTCATATATTCAGAGTGACCAAAAGGCACTTCAACAAAACAAATGCTGAAGTTGGTCTGAACTTACGTCGGCCTAACATGAATTATTTTATGAGCATGCATGTAAATAGTAGTTCTAGACAATTGTAAGGAATACAAACAGATATCACACCTGGAGATTATGAGCATGTGCTCTTGCAACAAGATCAGTTGGTTCCAGCAAATAGTTATTTGCAACTGGAACAATGGTATCTTTCCATGGACCAAGGCCCACAACATAGTTACTAATATATGCAAGGTAGTCATCTGAAGTGATTTCCCAGTATGACTGCAAGCAAAAAATAACATAAGTAATATCCATACAATCAGATGCTTCTGCTGAAGTTGCGAGAAACACCATAAGTACATACTACTCACTTTTCTTCCATACAGAAAGATCTATACCTGGTTTGTGTCTTGTGTTCTCACTGTGATATCATCAATCAGAAAGATCTTCGGAGAGTCTGTCAATTTTGATACATGTACAAGGGAAGAGGGAGCAAATGATTGTATAAACAATGGCTGTTTTAGCCAATTTTCGGACATATATTGACCCCTGTATCCATACTTTAGTAAGGTATCCACAAATTTGTCCTCAAACTTCTTTCCATCTGCCCACTTTACCTGTCAAGAGTAGAATACAAGCTCATTGCTTGAAGCACTTCAGAAATTGGAAAATCCGCCTAAGATTGTACTAATAAATTTAAAGCTTTTGAATTGTACAGCTCATCAAAGTTAAGGTGAAGTACTTAAATATATCAGCTGCAGTATTATTCTCTCCACCCATATACTATCAAAAGACCTTTGCAAAAGCTAATCCATTCCCTATAATAACTATTTTCATAGCAAATTTGCATATAGCTTCTAAGCACATTTCTTGACAGAAAAGGCTTGATTAGAGAATTATGAGAATCCTTAAAGTACCCTATTTCTTACTCAGAACAGGGGGGCTTACATGCTTGTTGATAAAAACTGGATCTTTTATCTCTGGATATATTCCAATGGTTCTGCTTGCATCTAAGGCAATTGAAATGAATTCTTCAAATGTGATGATTGAAAATTTGCCTGCATGTCCAGAAATTATCATTGATGATTCTTAACTCACAAATACGCCATCAGATTGCATCTTTCTGATTAGTTCATGTATTATGTTAGTTTAAATAACTGGAATCCAAAATGGGTCTACTATAAATAAGAGCATGCTAGTTTAAGAAAATGAAATATTCAAAGAAACTTTGACAAAGTAAATGAAAAACACATTTTGGAGAAGACTAAAATGCATACATCAACCATGGAATAAATTCCCAGGTATTAGTTGGTGGGAACTGGAAGGCAGGTTATTGAACAGAAAACTAGTAATTAATTACTACACCTCTGAGCTTTCTAACAAAACAAAAGAATCCCTCTGAATTAATTCTTTTTGTGAGGCTCTGAATACATATTTTTTACGAGGCTCTAAGTTTATTTTTGGAAGTACAATACGTTGATTCATAGAGAGGTAATGTGATCACGGTAAAGAAAAAAAAAGTAGAAGCTCAAGGACACAGCCACATACCATTATATTGTTGATCTCTGAATGGGTATCGCTGCTTCACTTTAAGTGTTTTAAGTTCCTCAAGCGTGAAATCCACTGCATATGGACACCTAATTATCAGAAAAATCAAGAAATAATAGGTTCACAAGTTTACCATTCACATTCAGTTCATATCCTAGCAATAGTTCAGCAGCAGGTGCAGATAAACCAATATGATATTGCCATGATTTATCAACCACAGAGCTATATGCTATATATGCTGGTGGGCCGTGGTCAGTTAGCCACAGGCCAGTCTTGCCACTAGATGCTCGTAGCTTCTGGCATTCCGTTGAAAATACCATATACTACACGATTAATGCTGGCAGTATGCAGCAGGAAATGGTTCTAGGAAATCATGCATGAAGTAGTGTCAGCTTCCTAAATTTGAGTCGAGAATAATAATTTCATGTGTTTTCTTGCATTCCATAGCCAACTTTTGATACTGCAAATATATCTCTGAACGGATTTACAAGAGTGAATGAAGAAACAGGGTTGGTTATGATAAGCACACCTACAAACCAGCCAGTAACGTTGGCCCATTCCACCTCATAGGTTCTCCTTCGATTGGCGAACTCCTTACGGCTGGAAATATCAGTTGTATCATCAAGTGTTACATCATGAAAGCAGATCAATGCACCATCTTTGCTAGCAAGGATGTCAGTCTCTATAAAATCTGCACCTTCTTCAATAGCCCTCTGCAACAGGATTGTTTAATGAAATCCGTTAACATAATTTTTTCCAATGGTGAAAAATCACATGATTGAAACTTATCAGAATTGAGTTTTGTAGCATTTGCAATGATCAATTTGATAAATCTAACCATCAAATGGTACATCCTCTTAATAAGGGTATCATCTTCCATATGCAAAAAAGAGAGATACTATTTTATTTGTCATATAAATTCTATGAGCTGTACCAGGTAAGCACCACTTGTTTCCTCCGGGATTTCCCCGTTTGAGCCACGGTGAGCAATGTTATATGGTCGAAATGTCTGTATGGGCTTCTTCTCTTCATTGCTAGTCTTACTTGGTAGTGGAAAGAATGGTCTAGCAATGACCACATGTAACAGTAGCAGAAGAAGAAAAGGAACATGACCTGCCAAGGATGATAACATAACTAAAATAAGATAGCTTAACAAAAGTTAACATCTCATTGTGACCTTTGTAGACAGTTTAGAAATACACAGTCAACACTCCTTTAAATCTTTGGTGTATAAATGTTACATATTTAACACTGTTATTAGAATCCTCATACCCAGTCCGAACGGAAGAGTTCGACTATACTCCAACGGTGACAAATATAACTACCACAGAGCACCCTCTGAATAATTTTTAAAAAAGTAGCCATGTGAAAACATGCAATGCTTAAAACATTACATGGCGTTAAATATGGGTAGTGTCAAAACTATCACAGGAGATAAATTGAGTCAAATACTTCCACAGAAAAACATTTATAAAGACAAAGATGCCATCAGTTGTTCATGAAGATTCATTATGATTGGAAATGAGTTAGCATAAGTAGACAGATTTAATTTGGAGTTATATGGATAGAATATGTAGAAGGATGGATGCTATATGCAGGAGACACGAGTAACCATGATATATGCGACAGGAGAAGAAACTAATCTAGCTGCTCTCCTCCCTTTATTTTCTATATATACTTCTGAACATATTGATGAAAGAATATGCACGTTTGCGCTATGGATACAGTCAACGAAAGATTCTTTGTGGACTATAGTATTGTTCAAAAGAAGTGAATTCCTCAGTTTTCAATGTATATAATTTCTTGGTTTCAGTTATGTTGCATTATATATTGTGAAGGCCAATTCACACGATTGAGTTTGTGAGTTTCTTCAGTGGCACTTGTTTAGAACTTATCTTGACTTCTTTTAAAGACAATGCCAGGGCTTCCCAAACCAACAATTTCGATTAAAGAAACCACTAACATCGGGAGTTCACAGCAGGTTCTACGGCGAAAGAAGCGAAGAAAAAAAACTCTTGGCATAGCAGAACATATCAACTGAGGAAAAGTCTTGAGACCAAAAACTTCTCTATATATCTTCTCCTGTCCAATTTGCCCGACCAAGCAACAGTTTCCCCACATAGAGCACAAAACGGGCATGATAACTAACTAAAAATAGTAATGCACCTAACAAAGCACTACCGACGATTCCCTTGACCACAGAAAGAGGAACTAGCAGTCTACCACTAAAAAAGGACAGCCCGGTGCATGTATTTCCCGCTTGCACAGGGTCCGACCACTTTGGGTCTATTGTACGCAACCTTTCCCTACATTGCAGCAGCTTTTACCACTGCGCCAAGGCTCCCCTTCCAACTAGCAGTCTACCACTAACAGTGCAGAAATTGTACAGAATCGCGCGGACTAGCAATAGGTAAGCAACCCCAGAGCAAGTTCATTGGCTAGTTGCCGCCCACCCCAATTCTAGCTAGCACAAACTTCTATAGTCCTCAATCTTAATCAGCCATTGCCTAATAATAACAGCCATTGCCTAATTGCCGCATCAAGAATCACCTCAATTCGTGCCTGCACATCGCCGCTACCCAGTTTATCGCTCAACCGCGCGTACGGTATCAGAAAAAGAATCAGAGTCGTACGGTGGGAAAAAGAGGATAAACAACTCGACGGGCTCCGCTCGATAGATCGGCGCGGCGGGGAAGTATCGGGGGGAAGACCCAACCAATCGAAGAGGAGGAAACGGGACTCACAGAGGGACGGACGCATAGTGCTGCTTGTTCGTCCGCAGCGCCTCCGATAACAGTGGGAGGCGAGCAGAGGCGGAGACCCGAGAGCTCGGTTCTAATGGAGCGAGGAGGAAGACGACGTGACGGCCGGGCCCCCTCTCTGTCTATTCGCTCCCGCTTTTTCTTTCGGTCACGCCGTTACGTATCATCCTCTTCTTCCTTTTCTTTATCTTCTGGCGCCCGTGACGGGAACGTATATACACCAACCGACCGATACTGCGCTCCGACGTTGACGGAATATTCGGAGGATCATCTCTTTGGGATGAACAGCTATTTGCTGGGATTATGTAGGATAGCAGGAGTACTTGGGAGTCGGAATATAATCCGTGTTACCTCGCTTACATGCGGGTCCCCCGTATAACAGCCGATCGTTGGATAGCGATGTGAGCCATGCCGGCCTCTTTCTGGCCGGTGTGTGTGTGGGCGACTAGGGACGGGCCGTGTGCGGTGAGCCCGCGTGCATTAGCCGATACGCGGCTCGTTCGAACGTCTACGGCGTGCTTTTTACTTTTCGTGCTTAGCATCTTCACCGCGTACCTTAATCCTCCCGCAACCGTCCGGATCGTACTATTTGTCATCCAACGTAGTCCGGCAACGATTCATCATATGTCTGTTTTCTCATAAACCGAAGACAAACAAAAAGGGGTTTTGTGGGAGTCCAAACATCCACACGACTAATTGAAAGTCACCATGTGTCCTCTCTCCATCCGGATGGCGGATAGCTGCAGTTAATTCTTTTGCTTTGGCGGAAACTACTTTTAATCATGCAAGTGTTTGGCGGAAGGTGCACATGTGAAAGGAATGTGTTTGGCGGAAGGTGTATATTAGTGAGCTCAATACTAACACACAACTAAGGCATTTTTGCCAGAAGGTGTGCATGTGAATGGAAGGTGTTTGGCGAAATGTGTATATTAGTGAGCTTAATTGATTACTTTTTTACCAACACAAGCAACACGACGAAGGTTTGAGATTTGGCGAAAGGTGCTTTATTTTACTAATACACAATTGCCTTCAAATGATGCGGATACGGTTGGATGATGGCTCCCGTATCAGTATCCGAACACCAATCCAGACTGAATTTCGAACAAATACTGTGTCCGTTTGCGGGTCGGCGTTGGAGATGCCCTTGTAGTACTAGCTTTCGTCCGGTGGGCATCCGAAGACGACGAGGGCGTGTAGGACATTGGCAATGGAGATAGGCAACATCGATCGTAGATGTGGCGCGACAGTCACCCGGGCCCCTTCGTTGGCCCCGTCGGTGACCACGCCTCTTTCAAGTATTGACACCCAGCCTGCCACCGCGGGACCAAGGGTTCTCACCACAAGCTCGCGAGGAGAAGATTCTGAGCCCGGGACAGGAGAGCTCCAGGAGGCGGCAATATCTCTTGAAGAGGCTCCCGGACGGGCGAGGTCCCTACGGGCCCACTAAGCCGAGCTCTCATTGTTTGACAAACAAGGCCAGGAGCCCGCCCGGGCTCTCGAAACCGAAGGGACTCCAACTTTAGACAGGCTCGGGAGCTACCGATGGTGGCACACACCGGGGGTGGCCTTTCTCAAGGGAGCCCGACAGAGGTGAAGGAAATATGCCCTAGAGGCAATAATAAATATGTTATTTATATTTCCTTATATCATGATAAATGTTTATTATTCATGCTAGAATTGTATTAACCGGAAACTTGATACTTGTGTGAATACACAGACAAAACAAAGTGTCCCTAGTATGCCTCTACTAGACTAGCTCGTTAATCAAAGATGGTTAAGTTTCCTTACCATAGACATGTGTTGTCATTTGATGAATGGGGTCACATCATTAGGAGAATGATGTGATGGACAAGACTCATCCGATAGCTTAGCATAATGATCGTTAAAGTTTTATTGCTATTGCTTTCTTCATGACTTATACATATTCCTCTGACTATGAGATTATGCAACTCTCGAATACCGAAAGAACACCTTGTGTGCTATCAAACGTCACAACATAGCTGGGTGATTATAAAGATGCTCTACATGTGTCTCCGAAGGTGTTTGTTGGGTTGTCATACATCAAGATTAGGATTTGTCACTCCGTGTATCGGAGAGGTATCTTTGGGCCCTCTTGGTAATGCACATCACTATAAGCCTTGCAAGCAATGTGACTAATGAGTTAATTACGGGATGATGCATTACGGAACGAGTAGAGAGACTTGCCTGTAACGAGATTGAACAAGGTATGAGGATACCGACGATCAAATCTCGGGCAAGTAACATACCGATGACAAAGGGAATGGCGTATGTTGTTATTGCGGTTTGACCGATAAAGATCTTCCTAGAATATGTAGGAACCAATATGAGCATCCAGATTCTGCTGTTGGTTATTGATCGGAGATGTGTCTCGATCATGTCTACATAGTTCTCGAACCCATAGGGTCCGCACGCTTAACGTTCGATGACGATTCGTATTATGAGTTATGTGTTTTGGTGACCGAAGATTGTTCGGAGTCCCGGATGAGATCACGGACATGACGAGGAGTCTTGAAATAGTTGAGAGGTAAAGATTGATATATTGGACGATGGTATTTGGACACCGGAATGGTTTTGGAGTGGTTCGGGTATTTTTTGTAGTACCGAGGGGTTACCGGAACCCTTTGGGGAAAGTATTGGGCCTACATGGGCCATATGATAGAGGATAAGGTGTCCCGTCTTTCGATGAGATGGTGGCTATCGTTTTGGAGGAAGTCGACTTTGATGATCCGACTACGAACGTGTGAGGACGTCGTGCCTTAGCAATCCCTAAACCAACTCCGAGAGGTTATTGACCACGCCGGAGCACGATCAACCTGACCACGAAGGTCTGTTTCCTGCAGGCAAACGAAGAACAAGTAAGAAACTAAGATTACAATCTGGATATTGCGAATATAAGAGGAATGCTTTATTGATCAAAGGTGGGGTTCTGTGACGCCTTTGTCTGGTCGTTGAACACAAACGAAGTACGCGAAGTTGCAGCTATGGCAAACTTTAATCTAAACAAAACCCAAAGTCTAAACGATGCCCTAAGGGCTGTATATATGGAGGAGAGAGGGGAAATTCTGTGGCCCTTGGAGGAGGGGTCTGAAACTAACCCAAACTCTTGTTTCCCCACACATACGGACTCTAAAAATAGCCTATAATAAAGTATTTCGAAATTACATGGGCCTGGCCCAAAAATAAGGTGACGCAACACCTAGGATAGCCTTTGGACGAAATTTATGAAGTGGCATCTTGTATATTTCGTCTAAGGCTTCATGCACTCATTATGGTGGCTTCAAAGTCCTGGAATCATCACTGTAACTCCGTTCTTATTCCCCTTGTGCACGCCATCATCTCCATGCTTGAA